CGCGTACTGCGTGACGCGCTCTGTTTCACAAGTAGGATAGGCACATACAGATCGCCAATATAAGGATGGTACGTGTGCGCGCGCGCAGTGCTGACAATAGCGTCGTATTAACCCGGGTGCACGTACAACGTGTGCGATGCTTGGTATCTATTTGAGGGTTTATGTCTTTCAAGAAGTTTTTCGACGTTGTAAATCAGTACTACAGAATTGTGGTACAATAAGAAATTAGAAATTTTACATCTACGATTGAAATACAATTTGAATTAAACAGATTACATAAAAATATAAGTATTCTTTGTATATTATAATGAAATCTAAAAAGCCGTGGTCACACAAGGAAGCTATTAGTTTCATTTTTAGTCAGTTTTTATCGCATCAAAAATATCTGTCCGACCGAGTACTACGCCAATAAATATAGCTCTGCAATGACACACAAACGTATAATTTCCACAACGTATAATTAACCACAACCGATAAAATGTTGTTTTAAACCCCCAACTTCACGTGGACGGCGTACACTGTTACAAAGACTAATTTAGATTTATTGTAGAGATTTGTACTAATTTATCAATTTGAATTGCATGTATATAATTTTCATATGATTCGGTCATGAATGCTATATAAAACTTTTTACGTAAATTAAACAATAATATGTATAAATAAATATAGACATTTCATAGATGAATTACGGAGATTACAGATTGAAGTATAAATGATAACGAGATACATAACCACTTCGTGATCGCAAGATACGGATTCATTTGCATAAATATAACATATAACAAATCCGGTGACGACACCATCTTCCTCGGACGCATCATTTCACTTCGCGTTCAGTAAGAAATAGGTTACGATCTTTCAGTCCATCATTGAATTCGTGTTTCAGTAAGAACAGGTTAGTTCTTCAGTACCAAACTATTGACTTCGTATTCAGTAAGAAACAAAAAAAAAATTAAACGGGTTCTTTCTGCAGGACACTACGACCGGATGCTGATAAAAGTACATGTTGTCATTTGACATAATTTACCTTTTATTATGTAAATGTAGAATATATAATCTGTTATCGTAAAACAGCAATGATAATTTAGCCCCTATCACTTGATCGTGCTAATATTTATATGCGTAAGATACTTTTTGTTCTTTACTACTGCACGATCGGTTGAACTTGAAGTTTGGGGAGAATAGTGGACTAATAATATTTTCACAATAAAATGTATTTAATTTTAATTGCGTTGTGAGGATGTTAAACATTGAAAATGAAATGATGCGAGGATTCCTCTTTTGTGCTAATAGGACATAAAGTGTCGGTTGATCAGGAGCGAGCTTAGTGTGCAGTGTGACGCTGAAGACATTTAACAAGTATTTTCGAAAGTCTGCTAATAAAATCCTTTCACGTGACTTGTATGTTTTAAATATCCCTCAGGTTAGTGTGAGTGTGTGCAGTGCAGGAGCGACACAAACCCCCAAAACCCACAAAACAAATAACCATACAATATTAACACAACCCCTACGGGCGATTGTGACGCTCTTCGTACCTCTTAATCTCGGGTTACGTGCACTGGCAGCATAAGGGGACAGATGATTTTCATTTCAAAGTTAGCTACTTATAGCAAAGAAAGCTTGTGGATCAGAGGTTATGAAGTTGGCAAATACAGCTTACTGAATATAGGGGGCCACCACACCCGGGTAGCAAGTTTTGTGAGAATGTGCTTCAGGAGCGGAAATTAATGTCACGACGACGTCGCAGATTGTGAGTCAGCGAGCTACATTACGACTTCTAATCGGACCTTACTTAAATAGTTAGAGGCAAGAAATTGCTGTTTATGGGTTCAATCTAGTGAACAAATTCGTAACCAAGGTTTGTTACAGGAATGTGTTGTCTATGTCAGGAACCACAAAAAAAAAAACCGTCCAGCTGAAAACTTTTGGGAAAAATTTTTATAGTATTATTCTACAGGACCATACGCCCTACCCACTAATATTGGTTATTCGGCTCCGAAGTCTTGAGATCTCCATAGGGGGTGAAATAATGACCGCAATGGCCACATTATGGGCGGCGAATGATAGTTTCAGAAAATCGATTGGAGCTTTATTTTTGAAATAAATGGAATTTTTTGAAATTTTTCTCATTTTTTATGAAATTTCGAAAAAAAATACACCTAATTTTGTTTAAAGATTATTTTACAATCTATTTAAAACTTATCTACAAATAACAATTACAGTTAGTCAAAAACTGTGTATTTCAGTAAAAGTACCAAGACTATTATTAATACCAGTTTATTTTAATCAAAATACCGCTGTTCTTAGTTCATATGTCTAATGTTTGCTGCAGGTTCAACCAGGCATCGTCCACAAGTGGCAAACAATTGAAGATATTTCCTACATGAACATCTGAAGTCAAACAGGCCTTTTCAACATCGACAGAAAGTTACACATATAAGGTTTCATAAATGAGACTATGGTGCATCTGGTTCGTAAGTGCACCAGGAGCCAATTTCTGCCGTAGTCAAGGGGATTCAGATCTGTCAGCGTTAAGCATGACTCAGTTATGTACTGTAAGTAAGCTCTAAGGATGTGTCCGTTGCTGAAAGCTATTGTTGGAGGTAGCCTATTCGATTGAGATCTTTTTCGCTACCATACCTCATTGTATGCTAGGAATTCAATGCAGAAAGGTCTTTTTCTTGTCACCATAAATGTACTGCCAAAGAAACAGAGGCCGCTGCATCACTAATATTTTCTTTTGATTCCTCACCGAAAGCTATGTTGCAACTGATACTTGCTCACATCAAAGGTGAGAGTTTTTTAGCACTCTTAAACCTTGCTAAATCCAATCTGTCCACTGCGCTATACACAACCTGAAATACTATGAATTAGAAGAAGTATCTCCTTTTCTTTATGATCTAGATGACTTGATATTTCTTTTCGAATTGGAATATTTACCATTATTCGTTGTTAGATAAATATCATTGTGATGGTCTACTGTTGAAATGTGTACTAACTACGACTTGAACTTTATCGCGATCCTCTGACTTCAATTCATACATCGCCAGGAATGGACATTTCCAATGTCTTTCTTTGCTATTTTAAGTATCAGCATAGTTACAGGCTATGTCACTTCAATACCATTTACAAGTAAAAAAGGCTTGAGATTTAAGGTCGATCAGTTCTTGTTTGTTATGTTCACTTGCTCAGGAATGTTGTTTTGAGAGGGCAGAACAAAATGTGGATTTCTTCTAACGCATTTCTTCGCACAGAACCGCTGTTACTTCCTCTTGTGCTCGTGATCTTTAGTAGAAGGCTCCTGATCATCAAAAATACAGTATAACTACCGATTTTTAGCGGATAAGATTAAGTACTCCATTGATACCCTCACACAGAAATGTCCCACCCTTTAAGTGACGCTTTGTTGCTGATATTAGCCAACCTCCATCTCAATGACTGTGGATCGTGATAGCTGCAAAATTTATGTGTAGATTGGTTTATCAAGAGCGGCTATATTAGTTTTCCTATCATTGATATTGATCCAAATAGCTCATCGGCACACCGTTATACTCGTATGTTATGGATTCCTCTATTTGAAGTCTCTCTTCAGCAACCTAAAGACTAGACGGTTAAAACACTTCAACGGATCGTGCTAACGCTTTTATTATTCTCTTTAAACTGATTTATAGTTGTGTCAAGTTCTTTACTTTACCTTTGACACTTATCTTATCGAAGAGATTGTCAAAACCATCTAGCTCACCGTAGAAGGACAGCCCAACGGCCAAAATTCCTCGGAGTCAACTCAATCGTTCCCAGGCTGTGAGATAGACCAGTCGAAAAAGATAATAACTTAGTCTTATCTTCGGATTCTGTAAGTCGACAGTAACTTTAATACCAAGTTAATTACATTTCAATTACATCACAGTTTTTCTTGATTGTTGACATGGTAAAGGATTCTGAGTGGATGGGCAGCTTTAGTTGGTACTATCGCTTCGATGAATTAGCTAATGAATCTCCAAAAACTGATTATTTAAGCAATTGATTCAGGGTGGCCCACCCATAACTGTGAGCGGATCTCGATTACGCATCCTTCCACTTGTTAATCACCACTAGATTTAGTGCCCTCATAATGACTCTGCTCTATGGAGAGGGTCAGTCCCACACTCCGCACTCGTGGTCGTTGTAACAAACGTGTGAAGCCAGTTTACTTTAAAGGTCTTTTAAAGGCGCCCCATACTTGACTTTATTTCCCAATCCTGCTTCAAATACCAGTCTTAAAGCTTCTTGCATACTGTCCCTACAGCTGCTGCGAAGATAGGGCAGCATCGCAGATGCTAAGCTGATCATAGATATCAGTAGTCGTGTCAACCTCTCTGCTCTTATGAAGTCCTTTATAGTGTTATCACTGTTTGGTAAGTATCCATAGTGCTTGATGTTCTACTGTTTTGAATACAGGTTATTTAGAAGCCAGAGTTATTTGCTATGATGATTCACTGAATAGATTATCAGGTCTAAAGTAAAACACCTCTATTTGCGTTCACAATTTCGGTTGATGTATACCTTCCATAGTCTACTAGTCATCGTCGTAACACTTTTCCTCTATAAGAATCAACAAAGAGCGGGTCGGATCAGATCGTGGCTATACAACGCTTAATAGTAAGATCCTCCATCACGATATATGCGTTGACGTCTCCAGGATACACGAGTTTGATGAGCTCCTCTAAACCCGAGTCTGCCATGATATAGTTTGCAGCAAGAATAACTCGTGTGAGTGGAAGCCCTCAACCCTGACACAATAGGCATCAGTTTCCCAGTACTATTCGGTGGCTAACTCCATATGGCAAATCGAATGTGATTAGTCATCGGCTCACTGGTAGCGATAACTTTTAAAGACATTCAAAAGAGTAGCAGTACCGTCGAATAGCTGTCTGGGGGTTGGTCTTAATCGCTGTTGTTTGTTAGTTTAACTTGATATTTGTTAATTGAAGGTATTTCGAGTAAGATTTGATAAGCGTTAAAAATAATTTGGTGTATATTTTTTGTTCGAAATTTCAATAATAATTGAGAAAAAATCGAGAACAAAATTCATTTATTTCGAAATAATAGAGCACCCAATTGATCTGAAACTATCATTGCTGCATATGTGGCCAATTGCGGTCATTTTGCACCCTATGGAAGATCTAAGACCTTCGGAAGCGGAATAACCAATATTAGGGGTGGGTTATGGGTTCTGGTAGAAAAAATTACTATAAAATTTTTTGCCCAAAAGTTTCAGCTGGACGGTTTTTTGTGGTGGTTCCGGGGACTACTGGACAACAACATTACAAGTAGACAAACATTTGTTACGAATTTGTCACAGAAAAATAACTCTTGCCCTAACTAAAAATGTATTCCAATGAAATCGCATATTTGGAAAGAATTAGTTACGGTAACAAGACATCGGTCGACAGCGACTATTGTCCGACTAAGTTATCTGAAAAAGACTTTGTCACGAATTGTGTTAAAATTTCATACGACAACTTTCCAATTAGAGGACATGTTCTGAAATGTTACTAGTCTACTTTGTTTACGTAACAATTTCCAATTTGATATATGATCTGAGTGAATCGACAATAGTTTATTTTCATTTGAGTCGATATATTGGACGAATGTTATTATATAAATCAGTTTCTGGTTTTGGTCCTTCGAGCATTGCTTGCGTCGAGGGTAAAAAATGAGTTGGTTGCGGTTTTGGATTGCGATAACTTGTTTCCCCATACCGCTCTCTTTATTTGCAACTGTAGGCTGTGATGTGATCGACAGCCCTGTTACGCTTGTTAGTGTACGGCTAGCACGATCTCCTTTTCTTCCCATGTCCTCAAAATTGTCAACACGTATCGATGGATCGGATCTCAATGGATCAAATCAGGATTAGGACAGTGGAGCCATGGGAGACCTTGGTTCGAAAATGATACGGCCCCCAAGAGGGGTCAGATCAACCTCAATAATTAGGGACTTTATAATTAGTGATGTGATTCCTGATTCATGGATTGAATCTTTAAGTGACACATAAATGGGGCTAGATTGGGGTAGAGTTCACATGTAAATTCATGTTAAATCATAGCTGTACATTAAGAAGTAAAATGATTGACTGCTCGACATCGAAGACAAATAGGGACGGGGAGCTCTTGCTTAAGGGGGGTTTCGTTAAGGGATGTGAGAGTACTTGCCAAAGGCATGTAAGGGGAGTGGAGCGATCAAGTGTTTTAGGTATTTATACTGGTAAGATAGAAGGTCGCTTCTATCAACAGTCATGCCTCCTTTCTAAGGTCTAAATGTTTCAGAGGATCATCAGGATGTCATACAAGTGCTTGATTCTGACAGATATATCATACACCAGGAAGAAATTGATGACAGCGTCTTCTTCTCTGCTGGTCGTTGCCAGGAGAACAAACTCTTAATGTCTGCCCACTGTTACCTCACGCTCTCACAGACCACCAACTATTTCCATTGGGACGTAAACCAGATTCGGCTACCCCACTGAGGAATCGAACTCCTTACAACGTCATGAGGAAGGCTGCAGAACAACATCCTGTTCGGCGTATCAGAACTGATATCTGATGTCCTTCCTGTGCCTTCATCAGAAGTAACCAGACGCTATCTAGTCGAAGACTTCTCTTGAATTCTTCTTCCTCCCAGCTGCACATCTACAAGAAGAGACGAAACAATTTATCTCTTTTGTATGGGAAGAATGACATGAGATGAGAGTAGATATTTCCCCAAAGTACACCATAACATATCACCGAGGATATGTGGGTGTTCTGGAATCATTTCGCCAGTATTTTTCGGATCCAGAGCTCCCTCGGAGAGGTTTTTAAAGAGGTTTCAAAGAGGTTCATTACGAAGAATCGCCAAAGCCCTCTGTTCAAGATTATTTTCTGCTATTAAGGAACAAAGGTTGTTACAGATTTTCATCTGGATCGGCTTGCTGTTGAAAGATCTTCCAAAAAGAAGAGGATTTCCAGCAGTCTCTGTAAACCTTTCTTCTACACGGCATACCAACAAAGATTGAGTAATTGTTTCGCTGTTGCGAAAATACTTTAGTATTATATTGAGTAATTTGTTGTATTGAAGGTATTATATCGATTAATCGATTTAAACATTTTATTAACATTTTATAACCTACCAATATTGTCTCAATTTCAAAACATGTTCACTCTTAATTTATGCTTCTATGTAGAGTTGTCATATTGTAATCTCCCCAATCTAGGCCCATTACAGCTCAATATATTCAATCCTTGATCAATTCAATATAGATACGAGACAAAGTTAAGTTGCAGGTTATACTTGATGACGTATATGGTAGTCAGTTTATCCTTCTGAAACCCAAGGTCTGGCAGCGTGGGTGCAACGTCACGAGATTACCGTGAGACTTGTGGAAATACGAATGTGACCGAAATTACAATTGTGATCCGAAGTCCGGACAGATGTCGCCAAAAAATTACTTCTGTCGAAAACCGCTAATTCGGCTGTCGGATAGGATCATTAGCTACTAAATTATGCATGAAAGAAAAGAATTAATCCTGCTAATACAGTGACTATTACCATATAAGGTTACTTTATGAAAAAATATACGGAATCCTATTCGTATTTCACAAGCTCCCGGGAATGGGGGGGGGGGTTGCTGGAGACGAAGAAGTTAAATACGGGAACAAAAATCGAGCTGTTACGTGCAAGGTTGAGTTACTTATAGCTGTTATTACTTCGGTAATAGTAATACTGGAATAAAAAATAGCTTTTTACTTTTTGAAATGCCGTTTCCTTAGTTAGTTTAAATAATTCTATCTGGTTTGGTTCATTGGTCCCTTATCAATAGTGATTCTAACCCATGTCAAAAAAAGTTGCTCAATACGTTGGTGCGAGTTGAATAAATCAATTTTCCATGATGATAATTTCATTTTCCAGTTTTACCAGTAAGTACGACATGTAAGTTTGACAAGTAAATACTCGGCTTTAGCTCGATAAGTCGAAGGGGAATATCAAAATCCCAGGAACGTTTCTCGCATTAGATGCTAAAAACCAGTCCACCCACATGTCGGCAGTATCTAGATTGCCCGACCCTGTCGCGGACTACGGTCCACGGACCAATGTCCACGAACAACTGTCCACGAACACCTGTTACCGATCATGTTATAAAATGCATAATAACAGTTATACCCTGAACAAGCAAAGGTGTTGTTTCTGGGAATAGTGATTGGTTTCCAGATAAATATGACCGCCTAAGGTTATGAAATGATGGTATGAATGGTATCTTGGATGGCAATTAGTTCGATGCATAATCAATACTTGATTAGATTCAAATGTGGTCCCTTGGTTATAAATGAGTTACGAATAATATTGATTGTAGGTCAGTATAATTCCTGACATGGTTATTTCTGTCTAATGACGAAAGTTTAATGGACACACGGCCTCCTTAGTGAAGCTCGAGACTTCCTATCCAGAAAAACCTCTAAAGAGCTCCATGTTGTGTGGGTGTAACGCATCTATGTCCTGGTTCCCTGCTCGTAGGTTGATTAATCGTTTCAACAAGCTTGAACCCACCGACTTTTTTGAATTCGCGTGAGATGATGTGAACCCTGCTGGATTCAAGGGGATACTGTTATTAGCGTATATATGATTGTATAATGTTGTTTCGTGGACAGTTGTCCGCGGACAGGGTCGGGCTTAATATGATACTGCCACATTGTTTATACTTAATTAATTTCAATGTTCGCACAAGTTGAGTCTTGCTTTTTCCGATTAGTTGCAGCCAAATAGTACAGCAGTCGCAATTTAACTTTGATTCTTCTTACAGCAGGCAACTTACAAGGATCTGTGATTATTTCCGGTAGTAATCGTCTTCCGCCCGAGGTTATAAGTACATATATTTCGACTCGCGAGAGCGTACAACAGGTTTTGACTAAGAATATCAAACAACTGAAGCTCTGTAACTTTAAAACTTTGCTTACCCCACTCTAATGTGATGTTGCTTGGACAATTTTTTGCCAAAGATGAGCCTTAGGCTACCACAGAAGCTGAGATTATCTTGTAATAAATAGTACAGAGTTTGGTCGCGAGAGCGTTAAAAATAGGTTTTGGACCTAATTACTCGAAAAACCTGAAGTCTGTGACTTTAAAACTATGCTTCACCCAATCATGGTGATGATTTGTCATTTTCATACCTAGGTTTGATATCCTTTCTCCAATAACAAAGTGGAGATATGTGGGTTAGAAATCACGAATGCGTCACAAAGGGCGTGGTCAATTTGAGCAAGACTGCCCATATTCAGAAAGTCTTACCAAAGCCAAATATTTGTTTCCTCGGGGCGGAAAGAGGGTCACCGGAATTTATCAGAACTTGTCTAGTTGGCTGCTGTAAGAAAGAATTAAGGTAAATTGTGACACCTGCTGTAGACTATTGACTGCAACTAATGGAAATAGTGTAGTGGCCGATTAGTAGCCACCTTTGTTGGCTACTAGCCGATTTGCTGCCGGTTAGTAGCGTCTAGTGAACTTTTCAAGTGCCGGCTAGTGCTGCTAGAATGACGGTTTGGGACCTCGAGAATAGTAGGTCTGCTTAGAGACAAGTATTAGCCGGCTAGTGACCGACCTTGTATCACGTTATGGTTACTAGCGGCTAGTAGCCTGTGAGTAATCGGCTTAGTGACCACTTATTAAGTGCGGTGGTAGCTGGTTTCATTGTAAAATATCTTTTAAGTGCCGTACTGTGGCCAGATTGACTATAGAGTACCGTATAGAGGCACGTATTATAGTGGGCGCATGTATTGGGCAAACCTAATAGCCATTTCCCCATATGGGAGCATATCTTCTTAAATTGGTTCTTGGGTTGCTTCATAGATCCTATATCGGGTCATCAGATGGCTGACCACCGTGTCGCCGATGTTGTTGCCAGAGAACGGGAATTGAATTAGTTATTGATGGTACTGCGCAGACGACAGAAAAAAGACATGCAACTTCGCGGCCAAGGGTGGTCGCCGCGTTCTGTTGACGA